CATGCCTGTAATCCCAGCACTAGGTAGGCTGAAAACAGGCTTCAAGTCTGAGCTGCAAGCTGCATAGTGAGACCCTGTACCAACTACATGAATGAAAAAAAATTATCATATAATAAAATTGACCTTGAATGAATACTTGTATAGATTTGTATTACCATCATAGTGAGGATACGGAATAGTTTTATTACCTTGTAACACTCATTTTTGCTAGCTGCCTACACCTCCTGCCAACCCTTAACACTGGCATCTACGCTTCTAGTCTAGTTTTGCCTTTTCTGGAACATTATGTAATGGAATCATGCAATATGTGCTCTTAAGACTGGCTTCTTTCACTCAGCCTGATGCCTCTGAGATTTATCCAAGTCATTTTTGTGTATCAATAGTTCTTTTTTGTTACCGAATAGTATTCTTTGTATAAAAGTATTACATTTGTTTACCTTTTGAAGGAAATTTGAAAAGACATAAAGGTAAGCAAGGAAAGAAGGAAGAAAGAGAGGAAGGGCTGGGTATAGTAGTGCATACCTGTAATCCCAGAACTCAGGTGGCTGAGGCAGAAGAATCATTGAGTTTGAGGTCAGCATGGCTACATAATGAGTTCAAGGACACTTGAAACTACAAAACCAGGCATGGTGGTGCACATCTGTAATCCCAGTGCTGGGGAGGCTGAAACAGGATCACTATGAGTCTGAGCTGCATAGTGAGACCCTGTACCAAATAAATAAATGTTTTTTAATATTAAAAAAGGAGGGGCTGGTGAGATGGCTCAGTGGTCTAAAGCACAGGGACCTCAGTTCAATCCCCCAGCACCGCATGCCAGCCAGCCCCGCCCCCTGTGGGCTGAGCTAGCCACACACACATACACACACAAATAAAAAAAGGGAAATTATAAAACAAGACCCTGTCTCAAAAATAAATCAATAAATAAAGTGAGGAAAGACAGATGGACAGGCATTTGGGTTATTTTCAGGTTAGGGTATGGATGAATACTGATGCTTATAAACATTTTTGTTTAGGTTTTGTTTGAAGAAACCCAGTAATTGTTGGGTTATATGGCATGTATATGTTAGACTATTTAAGAAACTGCCAAACTGTTGTTTTCCAAAATGGCTGTATCATTTTGCATTCCCACCAACAGTATGTGAGAGTTCCAGTTTTTATGTATCTTCACCTGTACTTGGTATTATCAGTATTTTTTAAATATAATTAGGTTTATTGGTACGTTTTAGATATACATAATGATCATATTCATCATGGGGAATTTGATATATTTGATTTCTCTTATTTTTCCCAATCCATTCTCTTCCCTTCAACCCATCCTCCCTTCCCTATTTACAAAGCTTTGTTTCCATTTTATCCTGTATTTTATATCAGTTTTTTCCCCTTTCCCTTCCTTCCTTTTTCCCTTCCCCAGCCCTAGTTCTTCTTTCCTTTTGAAAATGTTTTTCTCATTTCAAAATATCTATTATACATTTTGGTCCTTATTTACTTTTTCAGTCTCTTACACCAGTAGACAGTGTGATGCTTACACATGTAAGTCCAATTTATTTCACTTAAAAGTATGATCTCAAGTTGAATTCTTTTACATAGAAATGCCTCAAATTTATCCTTTTTTAGGACTGAGTAATACTTGATTATATATTTTTTAAAACTTTTTTTTTTTATTTTAGGGAAGGGTCTACAGGGTGTTTAGGGTCTCAATACTAGGTTGGAATCATAGTGATCCTCCCGTTTACAGCCTCCCAAGAGCTCGGATTCAAGCACATGCCACCACACCCAGTCTCAGTTGCTGTCTCAGTGTGTCCAGGGGCGGGGCCGGCATGAACCCCTGGCCCCTGTACCTGCTTGCAGGTGCTTTAATCCCCTGAGCTATTTGGCTGGCCCTAAAATATCATTTTTGTCTCTTTGGTAGGTCAGCATTTGGGCTTATCAGTATTATTCTACTTATCAGTATTATTTTTTAGCCATCCTAATAAGTATATAGTGATTTTAACTTGCATTTCCCTAATGGCTAGTGACATTGAACAGTTTTTATGTGCTTATTTGCTATCCATATATCCTCCTTAATGAAGTATCATTTCAAATCTTTTGCCTTGTTTTTTAGTTGGGTTGTTTGTTTGTTACTGAGTTTTGAGAGTTCTAAGTCCTTCATTGTAAATGTGGCTTACATATACTTTTCTCATTCTATAGATACTCTTATTTTCTTAATGCCATTCAGAAAACAAAAGTTTTAGTATTTGCTTTATAGTTGAGGTAGACCTCAAACTCACAGTCCTCCTGTCTTAACTTTCAAAGTGTTGGAATTACAGGTGTGGGACCACCGTGGCCAGCTTAAAATTTTAACTTTGATAAAGTCCATTTCATAAATTTTCTTTTATGAAGTATATATTGATGTTAAGAACTTCCAAATCCTAGGTCAAAAAGATTTCTTCTTATATTTCATTAAAAAGTTTTATTACTTCTAATTTAGGTCTGTGATCCTGTGTTTGTTGAGGTGTAAAATTTAGGATGAAGTTCATCTTTTTTTCATCTGGCATTATTTGTTGAAAATACTTTTTTTTTTTTAATTGTTTTTGTATCTTTATCAAAAATCAGTTGGCAAGGTCAGTGAGATAGCTCAGCAGTCTAAAGTGCCTGCTTAGGCAAACTTAGGCAAGTGCGCAGGGACTGCAGTTCGATCCCTGGCACATGCCCTGCCAGCCCCGCCCCCAGAGCAGGCTGAGCTGGCCACGAAAAGAAAAAAAACAATCAGTTGGCCAGGTAGTATGTATGATTCTTCCAACTTCATTATTTTTCAACAAATGTTACCTATTCTAGTTCTATTGCTTTTTACATATCTTAGAAATGAGGGGGCCGGGGAGATAGGTGGGGGCCAGGGAGATAGCTCAGTAGAATAAGCGCTTGCCTGGTAAGCACCAAGGGCCTGAGTTCAATCGCAGGTTCCAAAAAAAAAAAATCTAGTAATGACTAGTTTATCCTACCAAAAAAATTACTGACATTTTGAGTGGAATTACCTGAAGTCTATAGGCCAGATTAGAGAGAATTGATATATTTTGCTATGTGGAGTCTATAAAGGTGATATAGATCATGTGCATATTTTATTAGACTTGTATCTAACATTTTTACAATTACTGTAAGTAGTTGTGTTTCTTTAATTTATAATTATACATTGCTAGACAGTATTTGTATATGGAAATACATTTGAGTTTTTTATGTTTACCTTGTATTCTACAACCTTGTTAAACATTTATTAGTTCTAGGATTTTTAATTTAATTTAATTTATTTATTTGTTTTGGTAGATTCCGAGATTTTTTTTTTCTTCAGAGTTTTTTGTTTATTTCATCTTGAGATGTTCACCTGAGCTCCTAACCTTGAACCCCTGGGCTCATACAAACCTCCTGCCTCAGCTTTCTCAGTAGCTGGGACTATAAATGGTGCCTTGATTTGTGAGGTGCTCCCCTAATCATGTTGCCTGCAGATTTGTTGAGAATGGACCTCATTATATCATCCATGAGGGTAATAGAAAACATCTGGCCTCCCTACCATTATTTATGTTAGCTCTGGGGAGGGAAGGGTGTGCCCAGAAACTTTATAGTGAGTTACATTCCCACACTATCCCCTTTTTTGAGGCAAGATCTCACTAAATTACTAAATTACCAAGCTGGGCTTAAATCTGCTATCCTGTCTTCAATTCCCATAGTGCTGGAATTACAGGCATGGACCATACCCAGCCAGCTGTGGGCTTTTGATAGAGGTTCTTCATCAGATTCAAGAACTTCCCCTCTATTGCTAGTTGAGAGTTTTAATCAGTAATAGGTATTGGATCATCATAATGCTTTTTCTGAGTCATTTGGTAATAATCATGTAGTATTTTTTTTTACCTTTATGTGTGTGACACTCGAGACTGAACCCAGGGCTTTTGCAATAAGTACAGTTACAATCTTTTTTATATATTTAATTTTAAGATAGGTTCTCACTAAGTTGTCCAGGCTGGGCTTCAGCTTTAAATCCTCCTGCCTCAGCCTCCAAGAGTGCTATAA